CTTCACCTAATATGATTCTTATCTACTATCTAGTTAGTGAATAACCCTCACCCTCCCTCCCCACCCCCATAACCATCAAAGAATGTTTTCTTCTGGGTTTAAACCTTTTGCTTTAATGCTTTTAAATTTCATTATTTATTTATGAGATCACTGAAATGATAGCATTCCAAAACTCAGGATAATTTTTGCTCATTGAGGATGCTGCAATGAACACTGCTTTCAAGTCAAAGCTGAAAAATATAAATACTAGCAAGGAAACACATAGCAACAGTTATCACTTAGCCAGTTTCAAAGGAATTTCTTTTTATTTTGTGTATAGTAGGTTTTCCTTTTGTAGGGTGGAGAATTTTTTGCTTGTTGTTTTTAACTTATGGCTGCTTGTAATTAGTTGTATATTTCCCTTCTAACCTCAACAGATTTTCTTGAAACTGCCTTATAAGGGGTTAAAGCCTTTATAGTTAAAAAAAAAAAAAAAATGTTGGTATGAGAGGTGGTAGTGTGGGATTCTGTAGGACAGAGACAGGCATCTATCTCAGATTTTGCTTTTAGAAAGTCACATGAAGTGAGAAAAAATAGATTTTTCAATAAATGACAACAGGAAAATGGACTAAATATTTGGTAGGAAAAAGACAGAAACTTACCCTTACATCATATAACAAAATAAATTCACAATGAATTATTAACTTAAATATTTAAACATTTTAAAATAGTTAACTGCTATAAAAAACCCAAAAATCAAACACATTGCCATCGAGTCGATTCTGATTCATAAATGATCTTAGAGTCAGTGATAAAATATTATCTAAGCATGATGAAAAACTAAAAACCATGGAGAAAAATATGACAAATTGAACTAGATAAAAATGAAAAATATGGAAAATATGTGTATATGCATATATATGTACATGAGAGAATATACCTACAGCATATGATAAGCAGCAGCGTTAATATTTCTAATACAGAAAAAAACTTCTAAAAATTGGTAATAAATATTTCTGTTACAGCCACTATATTATATTCTAATATAAATACTTCTGTTTCTATTAATAAAAAATAGACAAAGGATATAATCTTGAATTTTACAAAAGGCCAATAAACATATGAGAAATTCAACTTCATTGATAATCAACTTTTCACATATCAGACTGGTAAATATTAAGAAAAATAAGCAGATGAGAATATACAATATTATAATCAAAAGCCTTAAAAACAAAAGGAAGAGACTACCTAACATATGTAAGAAATGAAGGAGCAATATCTAGAATGCATGAAGAACTAAAAATAACCGAGGAAAGGTCAGACAGTCCAGCAGAAAACAGACCATGAGCACCAACAGGATCTTTAATAATATTTGTTGAATAGACGAACTCAAAAAAAGGTTGAAAAGCATATCAGTCTTGGAAAGGATAAATAATTATAATGTATAAACACAATAGAAAATTATGAAGCCATGAAAAGAATTAAGTAGAACTACTTTTGATAGGCTCAGTGGGAACCTCAATCTGCCCTGTGGTTATTTCCCATTTTTGAAAAGATACACTCAGCAACCTGAGTTCACAGGGAGTAAAGGACTCTTAAGAGAAGGTAGAGGTAATTGAAGTCCCTGGGTGCTCCCCACTCTAACAAAACAGTAAACCAAGAGCAATGCCTAATCCTGGAGGAAATGCTCAGAAATGCTGCCACAAAAACTTGAAAGAGCTTTTCCTTTCAAGGTGATGCCTCTTCTATTCACATTTCAGTGTTCTGTCTGGAGGAGGCAGAAGGCAATGGTCATGGTGACTAGAAGAAGCTAGTTTGTATAACCATATACAGCCATATGTTTATATAAACATAAACAGTTTTCTAAAGGAAAATTCACCTAATACATGGAGTGAGGATTACATTAAGATTCACCTTTATAAAAATACAACCAACAGATTATTCTTCATATTCTCTACAATTTGGAACCATTGGCACCTTCAGTTACTTGAAGAGAGGTGACTTTAACATGGAAGAGTATTACATTTTTCATAATGGAGAGAGAACACTTTCCTACACATCCAAAAAGGATGTACTATTATTTCCCCAGAAGCAAAGTAGTCCCCTTTCTCTTCACCACCTTCAGTACAGTACTTAAGACCCATTCTCGTTACATGGATCTACTGCCATCTAGTGGAGTATTAAAAAATGCTTTACGGCAAAGAATACTTTTTTGTTATGAAACTGTAGACAGAATTGCATATATAATGTTGCAAGCTGTTGGAGTTCACTGGGGAATAGGGAAGCGCTTGAGGGTGTTGTCTCACCAGGGAGAGTGGCCGGGCTATGGGACACCCTAGGCCAGCCCTAACATGCACGAGAGCCTTCAAATAACTGTCACCATATAACTGAGAAGAGAACACAACTATCTTCTCTTTTAGTACAAAACGTCTCTGTTGCACAAAGGAAAACAACTCGGAGTTGTAACAGCCAATCATAGAAAAAGTAATGGTTAGGAAAGCCCTTGGACAGATGATTTTGAGATTTCCCCTCAGCATCTCACTGAAGTAGTATAGTTTAATGTTGACCAGCAAACTGTTGGGAACCAGATGGCCTGGTTTAGAAACTCGAGCTCACTTCTTCCTGGCTGCTGACCCTGGGCAATCTACCTAATCTCTCCAAGTTATAACTGCTTCAACAATCAAAGGGAGAGAAAACCACCTATTTCTCAGGCGTCATCAAAATTAACTGAGAAAAATGTATGTAAGCACCCGTATGCTGAAAATAGTAAGAGCTCAATAAATGAGAGCTAACAATATGAAACAGTTTATGGTTTTCTCCTGAGAGTTAGAAATGAACAATAAGAATATCCTTATTTACATATCTTAATGATCTAATGTGAACCATGCGTTAGGAAGATATTAAAACTTAATAACTT